AACCGCAAAGATTTACATACAGTGCAGAAAAAATGGTGGAAAAGAATATGGAAATGAGGAAAATGCAAATTTTTCTGGTGTTCTAATCACGGCAGAAGCAGTACCAAGCAGCGTGGATGGCTGCGGGCACCCTGAAAACAAGGGGGATTAAAAATATGGAATGAATTTGAAAAAAATCATCACGAAACAGAAATAAAGAAATTTGAATTATGCACGGTGCAAAAATCCCATATTTCAGTTTTGCACCGTGCAGAAAGCCGAAATTTCAATTTCGCACCGTGCAAAAATTTTTTATCAAAAAACGACTTACCAAACCAAAAGCAACAAGACGATATTAGCCACAACATGGACATTACATTCGCCGGCGTGCAGATAAACGGCAACTGGCTGAAAAACATTAAATTACCAAAAAAAGTACAAAAAACTTCATCATTTTCTTAGGTGATTAAATTGAAAAATCTGTTAAACTTTCGGCCGAAAAGTTTCTATAAAAATGAATTGATGAATAAAAAGAAAACTCACTGGCAAGAGGATGATCAAGATGAATTCAACAATTGGATGAACATTCGCCATTTTTGGGGGTGTTTGAAAAATTGAAACTAAAAAATGTGGTCACACTGTGCGAAAAATTGTGAAAATTAGAAGTGATAAACGGACGGAACGGCAAATTCAAACTCGAAAAAATATGAGTCAAAAATTTTTGCCCAAAAAAATGGCAAATTCAAACCCGAAAAAATATTAAAGTAAAAATTTCCTGCTCAAAAAATTCAAAAAGGTGAATAAAAAATATTTAACGATGATTGTTTTCATCGCCAAAGTTATCTTATTTGTACAAATTCTAGTGTAACATCCAAAGAGCAGTCCCCAAAAATAACGGTGAGCAGGACAACAAACGAGAAAACATCGGAAAGAAGGAATTTCGGTGATCAAAAAACATTTTCGCTCATGTTTCGCAAAATTTCGAAAGTTGTTTACTCCGATGTTTTTTCAAAAAAATAAAAAATAAAATAAACAAAAAATAAAAAAAAAAGTTCAAATATATCAAGGTGACTAACCTCGGAAATCAAGTTCCAACACAAAAAGCAAACGGTAAAAATTTTATCCAACAGTGGCGAACATTTGCAGACAGTGCAAATAGTGGCAATGAAAATGAAAATCAAGAAAATAAAAAATTCGTTGGTGCCCTAATCACGGCAGAAACAGTACCAAGCAGCGTGAAGGGCGGCGGGGAACCTGAAAAAATCGGGGATAATTTTTTTCTATCGATTGGAAATCCATAAAAAAATTGATTTTTGCACTGTGCAGTCTACAGTGGACCTGATCCAGTGGTAAAAAACGTACCATTTTGCATCCAGGAAGTATCAAAAATGTGGGAAAATGCTTCCTTCTCCAAGTGAAAAAACCCCGATTTCAAAAGCCCGCCCTTCAAAACGAAGTTTTTTCACATGGAGAGGTAAGCATTTTGCCACATTTTTGATGCTTCAAGGATGCAAAATGGTACGTTTTTTGCCACTGGACCGGGTCCGTCACTGTATATTCAGTCGAGAATTTCTCGAGGCAGAATTCTCGGATTTTTTTGAAATTTCTTACATGTGTTCTACATACACCACATATCAATTCCTGAAAATTTTAGCCATCATTTGGAGGCGACAGGTGAGAAATACCCATAATTTTCATCGGTTTTGCCGACGAGAGAGTATGAGAAATGCAGAGAGCAGTCAGAGAATTTTTTTTCACGAATAGCTTTGTGAATTCAGCTCGGAAAAGATTGATTTTTTTCAAAAATATTGTACACCTCATTTACAATAAATTCTGAAATAAAAAATCTTTCGAATTTTTTTCAACTTTCGGCCTAAAAATCACAAGGGATTCCGGAAAATTCGACCGAAAATTCACTTATGTGGCTTAGAAAATTGTACTCTACATTTGTGAAGATTTTTTTTCCACAAAAATCCCACAAATTTATCCGAAAATAAACTTACCAAAAGATGAACAACAAGACGATGTTGAGCAGGACATGTCCAGTGCACTCGTGCGCGTGCAGATAAACGGCAACTGGCTGGAAAAATAAAGTGATCAAAAAATTGGAAAAAAAAAATTTTTTAATATTTTTTATTTTTTAGGTAAGAGACTAAACTCACTGGCAGGAGGATGATCAAGATGAATTCAACAATTGGATGAACGTTCGTCATTTTTGGTGGTATTTGTAAGATAGAAACTAAAAAAATGTGGTCACACTGTGCGAAAAATTATGCAAATTAAAAGTGATTAACGGACAGAACGGCAAATTCAAACCTAAAAAAATATAATACAAAAGTCAAAAATTTTTGTCCAAAAAGTTCCAACGGGAACAAAAAATATTTAACAATACTGTATTTCATCGCGAAAGTTATCTGGTTTATACAAAATCTAGTCCAACATCCAAAAAGCAGCCCTCAAAAATAACAGCGAGCGGACAACGAACGACAAAAACAGCGGAATGAAACAATTTGAAGACCAAACAACAATTTTCGCGTATTTTTCCAAACATTTCGAAAGTTGTTTACCCCAAAAATGTTCTGAAAACAACGCCACCCTAACCGAATCCCATCCGAAGGCTTTTTGGAATTGAATGGAGAGAGAGGGACGGTTTGAATGGGAAGAGAGCTAAATTGGCCAGAAACCCAAAATAAAGTGGAAGCGCAGAAATTAGAAGTGATCTTTGGATTGCAATGTTTTTGAAAATGCTTTTTGTCATGTTGATTTTACTTCTGGGTCAAACAAATTTACAATTTTACATTTCAAAAATTACCAAAAATGATGATTTTCGGCAATTTCGGTCAAGAATTTTTTTTGCAATAAAATGAGCTAAAAATTTCGTAAATGCCTTACAAGGGAAGTACCCCCAAGTGCGACGCTCAGATTTTGATGAAACTTGGCACAAATTTGGAATATTTTTTTCTAAGAAATATGCGAGAATCATAGCTCGTGCTTTGCAGAAACAACCGAGATTTTTAGATCGAAAGTCGGCGAAAATTTAAGACTTTTTGCCAAATTTCGGCACGAGAAGTTTATCATACCTATTTCTACGGGTAATGCTTCCACAAAATATAAATTTTTTCCGCAAGAAACTAGCAAAGTTATGGCCAAAAAGTGCTTTTCTCTCTGACCGCTCTCCGCGTTTTGCGTACTCTCTCGGTGGCAAAGATCATTCAATATCCCGGCGACGCCGGAAAAGTGCGAGCTGAAACTTTCAGGAATTGATATTTGATTCATGCCCGACGTGTGTGCAAAATTTAAAGAAAATCTGAGCGTCACACTTGGGGTACTTCCCTTTTTCCCTTGTTAGTACAATATATGAAAAATTTAATACAAAACTCTGCCAATTTTAATCCTTACAGCGCCTTGTTTATCGAACAAAATTACTATTCTAGGGAAAGGAAACAATTGTGATCTCCGACTTAGCTACGGCAAACAAAAGGGTGTTTTGGTAAACAGAGAAGGGAAGAATGGCGAAACATAAATAAACAACATTTTTGAGCAAAGCTCGGGGTAAAATGGATGTTTTGGATTTTTACCGGGAGCTATTTTGAGTTCCGGCTGACAGTCAAGAAAAGGTTTTTTTAAATAAATATTATAGAGTAATCACGGCAATTGATGGTTGCGTCGCGGCGAGCGACACTGAAAAGTCGGAGGCGGAGTTACCGCGCATCTAAACCCAAGTCCTAGCGCCTCGATTGAAGATTGAGGGAGAGGAAAAAGCTCTGAAGACGGCCGGTTTTGCTGGTAATAATACATGTAATCGTTAACCGGTAAGGATATTTGAGTATTGTCTGGTAAACGGAGACGCCACTCGGATACGTGGAAAGCGGTGAAGGCCCGTTTAATCCTTCGGTCAGCCCTGATCCCACAGAGGAGGGGACTGTTACAGTTGGTAATCTTTTGTTTTACAAAATTTATTTTAGTTGTTGTAATAAATAATCTGTATGTTACATCTAATTAATTAATGTATATATTATATTTACGGGAGGACCCAAAAACTCTTAAAAAAAGTCTTACCAACGGATGAAAAATCTTTACCAAAAACTTAGAAATGAACGGCGAATTCCTTGTATCTCAAAAGATCATAATTAAAGCTCGGTTACTATTGCTGTTATTTGCGGTCGCTAAGAATTCTTCCCGACAATCCCAATTGCTGTTGCCAGTCTGGACTTTCTCTGTCAGGTTGAGACATAGTAGCAAAGTCTATCAAGAAAAATCAACAACTCTATGACGACTGACGACTCCTTCCCCAAAAAGGCGGTTAGCCCGACAATCTAACGACGTCTTGTTGACAAAAAATGGCAATCTCCGCCAAACTTTTCGGTTAAATACTTTGTGGCTTCAAAAATCTGATGTTTCTTCTCAGCACTTTTGGTTTTTATCGCCTCCACTTCTTGTTTACGCTTCCCACAGTTTCTATGGTTATTTCGAAAGTCGCGGGGTGATACGAATTCCACTTGTGGCCAAACATCAACATCCCAATGCGAAGACATGAATCATTTATTTTCATTATCTTCCGGTCCGATGAGACTATTTTCTGTTGTGAAATATATTACGCTATTGTAATGCATCAGTCTGTTGGGAAAATAATGGGCACAATGCCGCTGCGCCAATCGTGTCGCTGAAGGGAAAAGCAATTTGACTTTGCCGCAGACAATTTTTTTTTTGGTGGCGATGCGATTTTTGATGCGACAAAGTGCTTATTATTTTCCCGACAGACTCAGGCCTCCACAAAAGTTCGAACTTAATATCAATAAGTTCAAGTTTGCAAACTTATAAAGTTCAAGTCAACAAGACTTGAAGTTTGAACTCAACATGAATTCAAGTTCAAGTTCAGGTTTGAATTTCAACTTGAAAAAGAGAAAAGCTTTCTGTTGCACTTGGTACTCGAAATACAATACATTAAACTTGGACTTGAATATTTCAAAAATAATCTAACATGAACTTCAACTTGAGCCTTGAATTTCGGAGAGCCCGGACTACAATGACTTGGCAAACCCAATCCGACGGTTTTGCATATCGTAGACTTGACAGTAGCTTCGGATAAATGGATCGCCCAACAAGTATTTTGGCGTTGCATTTGAAACTTCCATCGAGAAGATGGCCAGGATGCAGAGTTTTTGCCCGCCATTGTGATACCCCTCCAACACTAGTTGCTCTTCCGTTATAACGAGCGCTCGACCGTTCACTTGAAACTCCAGCGAGATTTTTGTTGCACAATCTACGATGTAACCGTAGATTTGAGATAGTCGGAAAGCAGTGAGTGTTTGGATTATGTCGATGACAGCTGGCGGAAGGCCAAGGAATGAAGTGCCGGTGTCGGAGATCGCCTGAAGATTATAAACTTTGCGAAAGAAAGTGCTCGCGCTTTGCAGAAACGACCCTGATTTTTAGGTCGAAAGATGGAAAAAATTGTGATAATGAAGTTTAAAGATCTAATAGTAATTTTGATCCATTTCTCTTACCTCTCCATAGCCAATATAGTTCCCGCCGATTTTCAGATATTCAACTCTAAATTGCCAATACGTGGAAGCTGACAAGGGCACCCAAAACACTTCTCCACAGTGCTCATCATCAAAATCGCCATACGTTATTTCGCCACCAACCCGTTCGCTTTTGTGCAGTCCATTTTTATCGAGCCACACAGTGAAGAACGGTCTCATTAGTCCCTGCTCTACGGCGCTGTACAACGCAGGCAAGGTTCCGGGTCGGGCCAAATCTTTTTGGCCCATTCCAAAGATCCCGTCTATAAAGCCGCTGGCAAAGAACTCATCAATTTGGCTGGCTTGTCCCAAATCTGCTTGTTGAATTTTAGTATTTCCAATTTGAATATTTTCTTTGCCAATTATCCCACTTGCACTCCCAGTGCCATAAAGTATTTGGAAGGTTCGAGGTGTTGGAGTGTAGGTTGATGACTGATTTGCAAAGAATCTTGGTCGGCCGTAACATGTGTCCGCCGCGGATCGAATGTAACAACAAGAAGTTGGGCAATAAGCTAGGCAAAAGATTTCTAAAGAGCAAAAAATTAAATTTGTGCGGTGCCTACCATTCTCACAGTAAGATTTACAAAGAGCTTGGTCGTTTCGTTCGCAGCTTGAGTCAAATACCCATAGATTTGCGGAACCTGTGTCCATTATCATCTTGAATGTCTGTGGAGGGGTTCCGATTGATACAAGTCCTGAATTTGAATTTTTTGATGAGAGAGAAAGGTATTAGGTTGTCCAATAAATAATGTCCCAATTCGAGAAGGGCAAAGTCAAAGGTCTATAAAAAACGTAAGCACCAACCAAATGTCACAATATTTTACCAGTTTGGAGCTGTGATCTCAGGCTTTCGTTTAATATATAATTTGCCATAGTTGGGTGAGATTACAGTAATTTAGCGCCAGTTCAAAATTTTGGAAAAAATCGATCCATGCTATCAACTCGTGCAAGCAAAAACAAGGTATATACCAAGGTTTCAGAAGCTACACGAAATATCAACTCTATGCTAGGCCAGTATGCTGCGAGTCGGGTCACGGTAAAACGATGATTAAAATTTGGAAGAGGGACATTATTTTTGAGACAACCTAATACTTCGAGCGAGCATGATATACATATTTATCTATAATATGGCAGTCTAAATAACCCATAAATTATTCCCTGAAAATCTTAGCCTTGGCTTTGCACAAGCACCGAAGATATAGCGCATCTTATCCTATCAGTTTAACCCTTCCTTACCGACATATTCCGTGTCTGTATAGTCCTTGAGGTATTGAATTTGAGTGTCTGTTTGATCCAAAAATCTTCTAACTCTTCGAATCGCGGAGGCTTTGGTGAATCGACTATGTTTGTCATTGTACCGCGATACTAGCTCAAAATTCCCTTAAAGGTAATCAAAACCAATTATAAATACAATAAATGTATGTATTTAGAAATCATTTTTAAAGCCTGAGATTTTAACGAACCCTCCGAAATTTGTCGATGTTTGAACGAGTCCAGCCGCTGAATAGGAATTTTCCACGCAAAAATTACATTTTCTATGACTAGAAGGAGAAATAACAGGTTCATCTACATACGTTATTAGCAATAAATGTTAGTATAACACAAGTTTCTTTAATGAGAACAAAAATATTTATTGATTTAAAGTCTTATCTTATCTGTAAACGCCACTCAAAAAATATGGAAATTGATATGCGCGAATATTAATATTATATTATTAGTATATAGTTGTGTTGCAAAATAATATGGACAAATTTGGAGATCAAGTAATATAGACCCGATAATAATCGTTGGATTTTTTTGTATTGGCCATAGGCGACCCTAGTAGAACAGGGAATGGCGTTTTTCGTTAAAATCAGAGCGTGGGCTGTATTGCTGATGCTGGGAGATGACGCTGCTGACCGCTCGGACTTTCTGAAAGCAGAGAAATATTATAATAGAGTAAGCCAAAAAAATTTTATTTTTTCGGCCCTTAGGCAACTCGTAAAAATTATTTTTATATTTTTTCTGCTTTATTGTCGCTTACATTTTTCGTCGTCAACGCGGCAGTATGTCCAATCTTCTCCTTGTCACTTTTATAATGCATCCAAAACACAGCAATCATTACGATCAATTCCACTGCTCCAATAAATTCGAACATAAACCCGGGCCTCCACGACACGGTCAATTTGTAGATGTTGTTGTAGATCAAGTTCGTTAGAATGAACGCCAAATCCGCTGCTATTCCGAACAAGGTAAAGGCGCGGCCAATCTCGTCGGCAGGCACTAGCTGAACGATGAATGAGACAACTGCTGGCTGAACCATTTCCGAGAATATTCCGACGCCATTGGCCAGGTACATGTGCCAGGTCTCGGTGGCCAATCCGATTCCGATGGCACGAAGGGCGGATGAAGCCAACCCAATGAGCATTATTGTGGTCTCGCGGAGTTTGAGGAGTCGTTTGAACAGCGGGAGGAAGACAAATGTGCCAATGAACACTGAAATGAAAAATAGAACTGTAGTCTTTTCAAGCCAGAAGCCTCAATTTTTTATAGTATTTTTTTCAACTTCAAAACTTACAAATAAAATAACCCATGGCATTCCAGATGCCCAGATGGAAGGAATCCCACTCCAGCCCTCCATGCTTCTTACTGCGAAACACGTATCTCGTCAGCAGCGGGCCTAAAACAAAATCATAAAAGTATACGCAACACTTACTCAGTCTGGTCTCAATCGTAGTGGTATACGTGACCATGAGCATGATTACCGCCACAAACATGAAGCCCCTTCGATGACCGGGTCTTCGCTTCAAATAGACGGTGAATCCGGACTTCAAAAGGGCCCAAAGCTCGCGAAAAAAGTCGCCGCAACTTTCCGTCGCCGTATGCGAATTGCTGGATAAGGTTGACGCTCGTTGTAGCCTTTGACGATAGCCTCGTTTTTGTGGAATTTTGAATAACGTAAAGGTAAAAGCCAGGACAAAAATGGCAATTTCAATGTCAACAGCTCCTGCTAACCTGATCGTTTGATATATCGGGCCATGAAGCGCTATAACTGCACCAAGAATTCCGCCGATTACGGTGGAAAGGCATTGAGCGGCGGATAGTACACCAGCCTTGATCGTAAGAAGGTCATGATCGTCTGTGTGGTCCGCTAGATACGCGTTTAACGAGACTGGAACCTATAAAAGTACTGTGAGACAATGTCAGCCGTATTTACAACCCTTCTACTGCCCAACTTACCATGGCCAAGAAGCCGGTCATTCCCGCAACCAATCCAAAAATCGTCGTTATATAAAACGGCGCATACACAGTTTCGCTCAAAGTTAGTAGAAATCCATACTCGCTGATAGCAACGCCGACAATCCCGAGCAGAATATTGATCTGCCTTCCGTATTTATCGCCGTAAGCGCCTAAAATAGTGTCCACTACCATGGCGGGTGCAAAATACGCTAATGCTTGATATAGGGTCCAATCCGCCGCTTTGCGCTGCACTTCGTGTTCGATATGGGAGGTCATGTTGAGGCATTCATACTCGTAGTGGTCGTCCTCGCAAATCCTGAAAGCTTGAGGATGAAAAATTGGCTTTTATGGGATGTCATCAAAAAGTTTCACTGTTCTAATCGAATATGGTCTAGCTGGAAAGGTGCTGGAACTAAGACGCTCATATTTCGCTCCCCGCTTTCCGTGCTTCGCATCCTCTCTAGATAGAAAAGCCGGCTGAATGTCTCGGTTTCCTATGCAAAACTCAAACTAAAACTCAATGGCATAGTCATCAACTGGGTGCAAATTTATATAAACCTTGTGGTCCGCAATTGGAACACATAACTTTCTCGCAATTTTTAGTCATCGCTTGAAGCCACTGTTATTTACCTCATATAGACATCCGGCGCTTGGATTGTTACCCCAAATGCCCAACCCATATACAGTAGGAACATGACGGCCGCCGCGCTCATGTCCTTGAGGGCCAGCCCCATCTTTTCCATCTTTTCTGCGAACCGTTGAAGGCCCGTTGGATTCGCATCGTCCGCAGGTAGTTCAATATGAAATCGAGGCTCTTCCTCAGTCTCGTCTTCTTCTTCAATAGGGCCATGACGGAAGAGAACGGACATATACGTGGGTGTTCGCCAAAAAAACCTTGTGAAAGGTGAACTGAAATGTAAAGAAGCAAAATTTTAAAACTATTCTTTAACAACTAAAAAAATCAAAAATTCGAACAATCGTTTTCAAATAGATTTATTGCACACACAAAACTACATTGAAAGAACATGAAAAAAGTTCGCGACAAAATTCCATAAATTTAAAATAAATATAAACCTAAAAGACCTGAAGCATCATAAGCAAAGTTCTTTTCTAATCACACGTTAAAAACTATGTCGAAATGAACTCAAAAATACCTTTATGATTAAGATATGGAAAAGATACATTTGAGGGAATTTTTAAAAATTTAGAGCATTTTTGCTCTTTCTCCAAAGTTTGGTAGCCAAAAAAATTTAATCAAAAAGGCTGACGTAATCAGCGGCTTATGAACAGTCTTTCAACATTCTTTACCCTACATTATCTGTCTCAAAAGTTTGGTCATCAAAAAAGTAATTATGCTGTAAAAGATTGGAATTTGCAAATTGAGAAAAAATGGGAATATCAGCGGTTTGTCAAAGGAAAAAACACATGCAGAACATCGGGACTTGGAAGGCCTATTCTTATTTATTTTGACTTGAGAAATAATAAATAAACCGTAGCAAAAATTTTATTTTTGGGTCCGCAATGTACTAATATTTTGCCAAAATAATCTCTGTTAGTTCGTACGCAAAGTCCGACGCCGGAGTGATGCCATTTTAACCCCTGGATTTCTTGATTTTGTGGAAAAGAAATTTTGGAAGTTATGCTGTAAAAAAAGGGATCACAGAGGCCCTAAAACCTAACTTTTTCTAAAATTTTTATTCATTATTTCCCAAGTTATTCGCAGACTAAATCTACAAATCTCACTGGCGAAACTCCTAATCCTCCTTCTTCGAACAGGTACTCTCAAAATAAAAAATAGAATAAAAATACCATAAATATGATGATCAAAAGGAAAAGCACAATATCAATAATAATAATCAACGACAAAGCTGTTGGTCTTACGCCACGTGTCCGGGCCGCAGCACATCCGTCTGGAGTTGAGTGTAATTCTGCTTGTCCTGAAACGGAATAAGACCATCAAATCGCTCGTTATCAGTAAAAGTGAAGAAAGGGACTCAGTGTTTAAGTGCCTTTAACAATTAGATATGCCTCACGGCTTGACAACGGGAACGAGGCGCGATTTTTGTTGTCTTATGCAAAAATGAAAGCGGGAATTTTGGAGTTTGAATACGTATTAGAGGTGGTATATGCAGTATAACGCTTTGAGTTCTAAGTTTTTTCAAATAAACGGTGATTTCTTTATTTCGCGCTAACCTTTAACTATCTTGTTTTACTTTTTTAAACATATTTTGTAACTGTAATTAAAAAAATACGAAAACTTAAAAATTAAAATTATACATGGAATAATAATGGGTGGGAGTTAATTTTGTTTCTGTTTTCGAAAAAAATTTATGGATGTGTATTGTGATTTGGACTATTATAAAATATTTGAACCCCTTATCAAACATTAAGCTCTAGAATAGACATGCGAAGAACATTGAGAAATTGATGATTTCCGTGATTTTCATTTTTATCAACCATTTCCAGAAATGTTGAACTCACAAAGCACATCACGTACCTCAACTGCCCATTGCGATTTGTGATAAAAAACTGACACATCAAAAAAGTTTTGTTAGACTATTTTAAAAACCTATGTCTATCTGCTTAACACGATGACAAATCTGACCGATCAGATATGTCGTATGACCCGTTAGCCGCACTAGTCCAACAGCTCACCAAATCCCCAGCAAACAAAGAGAATTTACCTACCAACAAATACTTCGTGTATCGCCGATTCACCCCGATAATACAAGTGATCGACGCGGCCAACATGTGGAACATGATTGCACATAAATAGAGCCAGAATGGTCCCAACAGTGCTTCGAACTTCTTGCCGTTAACCAAGTAACCGGGTACGCTTTGAGTGAATTTTGAGCGACTTCCAATCGCCATCACCAAAACCAACGCCAACGCAATCATGTCGCTGAGGAATACAAGGGCCGTTAAGCAGAGGCTTTGGAACGAGATTAGTGTCTCTTTTTCGAGGATCGCGCCGGCCAACTGAAAATGAATTGATTTTATATAGAACTGATGGGAAATTGGAGATTTTTGTAGACGAGACACTGTGCAAATGAGTAGGGGTTAAACAAAAAAACGGTTTGTTCATTATTCTATCGGAGAGGTCCAAAATGATTAATTATAAAGAAAAATTAAAATTTATCTTACATAAAGTGCATAGACCGCAGCTCAATTCCAGAAAATTTCAGATTGGTTTGCGTTTTACCCCGACAGTATTCAACCATTTTTTCTGGGCGCGAGAGTACGCAAAACGCGAGAGCGATGAGAAAGAAAAGCCTTTTTTGGTCATACCTTCAACAATTCCGAACAGAAAAAATTGATTTTTTGTGGAAATATTATAGTCCAGAAATCGAAAAAAATATTTTCAGTCTGTCGGAAAAATAATGAGAACAGTGTCTCCACACCAATCGCATCGCTGAAGTGAAAACCAATTTGATTTTGCTTAATTCATTTTCTCGGCAGCGATGCGATTTTCGATCCGACAGAGTGCTCATTATTTTCCCGACAGACTGGTAAATTTTTGCAAGTCCTAAAATATTATTTTCAAATATCAAGCAAAAAATAAACCGCGTATTTTACACTTACCGCACAACAAATTCCAACCAAATTGGCTGCTCCAATAAACAATAAGGCCGGACGGAACACCTCGACCGCATGGATAAATTCATTCTCCTCGAAATAATGGTAAAGAACGGCCAATGTGATCAAAAAGGTTGTCTGCAAAGCCACCGAGACATACACTGCGTTCGACGCGTGGACTAGTTCGCAAAATGCCGGAGGGTAATATTCAGGGGCATCGTCGGTGAATGGTCGCTAAAAGTTTAATTTTCTTTACAAGTTTTCAATTTTTCAAGGCTTTGACGGCCATAAAAAGATCATTTCAAAAAATTACCTTGGCTTCAATGTTTCTTGGCGCTATCGAATAAACTTTGTTCATCCTTTTCTCTCTTCCTCCTGAAATTTTCAATGTTTAAAGAGCATAAAAATTGAAAAAAAATGATTTCAAAACGCAAGGCCCCACAATTTCAATTAGTAAATAAAAAATCAGTCGAATTTAAGAGAAATTACCTGGAATTAACCCCATTCCAGACAATTAAACTTCTAGAAAAAAAAATTCGAACAAGAATCACGTAAAGTCATCGCTGACAAGGGTGAATGACATTCCACATGACCTTCGATTTGGAAACCCGACGTAATTGTAATTAAAATTATTGAAACCCACAACGGAGTTTAATTTGTTCAAAGATGTAAAAGTGTATGTACAGTGACAGGTTTTACCATAAATTGTAAGTAAAAAATTGTTTGTTATAGAAGGGTTTTGTTTCACGGATATTGGGCGAAAATTGATTTGTGTTACCTTTAAAATTGTGCTTTATATACAACTGTCGTTCTATGAGGGTTTGTTGTACAAAAGTTTTATAGGAAAAAACGGTCTTTGCCATTTTTGGTTCTCTAAGGAACTATGCAAAGTAATGAACGCTAAACTGCTTTAACTTGGCCTAACAAGGGAAGTACTCCAAGTGCGACGCTCAGATTTTCATTGAATATTGGACACCGAGATATTCAGCGATCCTTGCGGCTGGGAGAGCACGCAAAAAGCGGAGAGCGGTCAGAGAAAAAAACGCTTTTTGATCATAACTTTGCTAGCTTCGCGTGGAAAAAATTGATTTTTTATGGAAACATTACCCTCTATACTAGTCCTTCCGGAAAGTCGCCGGACGGAAATCGGCGACATGCACTCCGCGAAAACGAAAGTTCACTTTGCACTGTGCAATTTCTTGCTTTTCGCACCGTGCAATAGGCTTTTTTCGGGTGTCGCTCGCACTCTGACTTTTTTCGCACAGTGCATGTCGCCCATTTCCGTCCGGCGACTTTCCGGAAGGACTAGTAGTAGAAACAGGCATGTGTGAAAGCGAAAGTGTGAAATTTTCGCTGATTTTCGATCTAAAAATCTCGATTCTTTCTGCAACACGCGAGCTAGGATTCTCGCATGTATTTCAGAAAAAATTATTCTAAATTTGTGCCCAGTTTCATCAAAATCTGAGCGTCACACTTGGGGTACTTCCCCTGTAAGATTGAAATTAGTGAAGCTTAATATCATCAACTTATAACAGCACCTGATATAACAAACCATACGTGAGGAAAGACAAAGCATAATATATACTTTATCTGCAATCAAGATCTATGCAATCTTGCTCTTATTTGCATACAAAGAAAATTTCAACGCTAAAAGTTGCAAGACCGGCCTTTTAAATTCACTCTTGCAAACAAGAGTCACGTTTTTTGGCAAGTAAAATAGTAAAAAACAGACTAAAATCCGAGAAAAGCAGTTCACTACTTTTCGAAGACCATAATTCTCAAAGGTCGTGCAATTTTCCCCCTCCAATTTCCCCATAATCTGTGGAAATGCAGTAAAAACAGCCAGTAAGAGTTTTTGAAAACAAACTCCCACCAAAATCCCACCGAAAAAGTTGGAAAAGTGGGAATCGATTCGAGAAACGCGCGGCGCCGCGAGAAAAATGGATCAAAGGGTCATGGATGGGGAGCGCGCCGGCACCAGCGACGATTCCGAGGAAAGTGCGCAAAAAAGCGGAAATCGCTGTAAAATTACAGACGGAAATCGCTGTAAAATGGGGCGGTTGTAACAGTTTTTTTGGTGTTGTAATAGTTAGGCGGGAGTGAAGGAATACGTGCAGACAAACTGCAAAAATTTTGACAAATTTTTGGAAAGTTCTTTGGGAAGATTGGGGTCAAAGAACCCACATATTATTCGACAGGAGATAATATGGCCTAATAAGGCTATTGCGAAGGCGGATAAAGACCATCTTTTACGCTGGGGGAGAAAAAGATATAAATTGAAAAACCAAAACATATGAAATTTGGACCAAAAATTGGATAACTTACAAAGGGAAAAACAGCCAAGTACGAGGATCAGATTCCGTAGAAAAAATGATTCTAAATCTATGCCAAGTTTCATCAAAATCTGAGCGTCGCACATAGAGTACTTTCCTTTTTAGCTGTAAGCTATAATTTACAGCTGAACACAAAATCAGCCCAAAAATTGACTAAAGCTCTCATAAGCGAAGTTTCTAGAGCTCGTAGAACCGCTGAACCGTTGAAATCCCAGCAAAATCTACTCTACTTTTATTTATAAAGAAACCATCTCGCTGACGTCACCGTAATGCTGACTCAACCGATCACTATTTAATACGAATGGGAGATCATTCACAGTGGGATTTCCATGACTACAGAGTTCTCAATACGTCTTGCAAAAACAACTGAACGCCTGCCAGACAAGGAAGTTGAAAAGTTTAAAGAGTGTGGCCTTTTTACGGTCCGAGCAACTTTGAATTGTTGGAAGGAAAGTTAAAAAAAGAGTGAGAAATTTGCAACCAATCTTGCGCACACTGTGTAGTACTGCACTTCACAAGATAATGTGGCTTCGTGAATGGCCATAGACCATTAACAAAAGATTGATTGAGTTGTAACAGAATCCTGAACAGCCTGGATCGAAAAACAAACAGTGAAGTCTCCGTGGAGCAAATTTACAAGCAGAAAATTCTGCCTACGACGGACCTGATCCAGTGGCAAAGAACGTACCATTTTGCATACTGGAAGTATCAAAAAATGTAGCAAAAGTGGAAAGAGGTTCCTTTTATTAATGAAAAAACATGGTTATGTATGTAATTTGTGGAACTGAGTGTTAATTTGTGACAAACTCGGTAACAATATCAAATTCCAGCCTTATTTTTTTTAACATAATGTAAATTCCGAAGATTTTTTGTCAATTCGATATGAATAACCATCAGAGATTGCCACGGCTCCGGAGCCGGCTCTTGGCTCCGGCTCTGAGCGGCTCCGGCTCCGAGCCGGGAGCCAGAGCCGGAGCCGGAAATTTTGGGGTCGGCTCCGGCTCCCGAGCCCAAAGTCGGAGCCAGGCTTCCCAGCGGTCAGAAAAGTAAAAATTTCGTGATCTTGCTAAACCAAATTGTTTGAAAAAACACTGCGGAGGATGTGACTTGGCTGCAAAAACGTTGGCTGTATGATCTCTGGCACTAAGAAATTTTACTTTTGAAAAAATGTTTCAAAAAAATTTTGCATAGGAGCCGAGGTTCGGAGCCGGATACGTTTTTTAAATTTTGCACGGAGCCGGGAGCCGGAGCCGGAGCTGCAAATTTGGCCTCGGCTCCGGCTCTTGGAGCTAAGAGCCGGAGCCGGAGCCGAAATTTTGACCGTGGCAATCTCTGATAACCATAACCTTTTTATCAACTATTGCCTCAGGCTTTTTCTTCAACATGCATAACTGCATTTTAATTTCTTCAAATACATACAATACATATAGGTTTTATTTGTTTTTTGAGTCATCCTATTTTCCGATTCCTGATAACAAGTACAACATACAGCCTCAAATATTTTGTTCAAACGCTAAAACACTCTTATCTCCACTACCGGCTTTTTGAAACCGGTACCTTCTGTTTGTACAAAGTAATCACAAATTTGGGTGTTATCAGTTTCCGATCATTGTGCATACTTCAAATATTCAGGCCATTATTTCATTAGGCTCTTCCTGAAGACCCATGCTGATAAAGCGGTTGCCGCGGCGATGAGTCGTCTGCTTTGTGAATGTCATTGATAATTCCGAACCAAATTGCTGGGCTGTTAATTAGTCCGCTTTTCCGCTGATAGCGAGGGTTATTTTTGGGGGTTATGTATGGAAAATTAAGTTTGAGATGATGTGATTTTCAAGGCTTACAGTATATTAGTCTGTCGGTCGGTGGCAAAAATGTTTTGTAATCCAAAATCATCATTTTGCCATTAATCAATTTTCGATTTACTCGTTGCTCAAATAGGATAAACAACCATGTAAAGGGCATTTGGAGTAAATCCACTCGCGAAAAAGACCCGGAAAATATCCAAAAATTGCATGAATTTTCCGTGTTTACAAAAGATGTTAGATAATAAATTTCCCGGATTTTTTGCAACACCGTTCTTGCCAGCAAACAAAAATTATTTTGACTATTCTTCTTCATCGTGCTGACAAGGCAAAAATACGTCTATTCCGGAACCTACTCCTGCTTTCAGGAACGTAAACCTGACATCATGAAGTTTCTTGTACTCATCCTTTCTCTGGCGGTAGCCGCCCACGCCTACGAAAGGCTAATGTCCTTTGGCAACAAGAAGTACGGAAGGATGAAGATGATTCAGATGCTCGAGGCCATTGCGCCAGAACATGAACGCAAATGGTGCGCCAATTCGACTCTGAATGACGTTGAGGACAAATATTTGACTCAGCCCTTCGACCACTTCAACAAGGATGACGGCCGAACTTGGGAGAATGTAAGAGATCCTGTCAAATTTTTAGGGAGACTAAGGATTTGCCCACATGTTTAAAAATGTGTTTTTAGCACTATCAAGTGCAAGAGCGCTACTTCAACAAGTCGGACCCCAACCAACCAGAGCATATCTTCTTGATGATTGGTGGAGAAGGAACTTCTTCTCCGTTGTTCGTCTGTCTTGACGATGTGGCCATTATGAACCTTGCCAGAGAACACAAGGCGTTGGTAATTGGCTCAGAACACAGATTCTTCGGTCCTAACACGGGAATTAAGTGAGTTTCGAGAAGAATATTGATCATAGTGTCTCAATGGGGGGTTGTATGAAGATAACTTTCAATAACCGGCAGGGAGACCTGCGTCATCTTCACAGCCTGTCACCATTATTTTTAGCTCGTCATCAACGGCAAATTTGAAGTATTTGACGACTGAACAGGCGCTTGAAGATTTGGCAAAGCTGATCGACCATGTCAACGCTGAATACAAATTCAAGAACCCCAAATGGGTTGCTTTTGGAGGTTCTTATCCAGGTAGGTGATTTCCGAAATACCAAAAATATCCTATTATGATACGAGAATATCAGTCTGTCGGGAAAATAATGAGCGTAACTCGCTGCGCTGGTCGTGTCGCTGAGGTGAAAAGCGATATAATTTTGTCGCGACACAGTTCATTTTCTCTGCGGTGATGCGATTTTTGATGCGACAGAGCGCTCATTATTTTCCCGACAGACTGATAATCAAGCCAAAAAAAGTACGAAAATTTCACGGACTATTTTCAGGTACTATGGCGGCTCTCTTCCGTATCACTCACCCTCACAAAACCTTGGGAAATGTTGCCAGTTCAGCTCCACTCTTCCCTAAAGTCGACTTCTACGGTAGGTCAAACATGTCTTGCATTAATGCCAAATTCTCTTCAGAATACGCCCAAGTTATGGAGAAAGCCTACAACGAAACCGCCGAGGGCTGTTTGGACAACATTGCGAAGGCTTTCAAAGAGCTGGAAGTCAGCGGTCATTCCGTTGAAGGCCGTCGAAACTTGCAAACGGCATTTGAGTAAGGCTTGATAATTTAATGTCATTTTTATTAATAGCCAGTATTTCCATTGGCATATTTAGCTATATGTAATATGAACCATGTAACTCCCTGGTTTTCAGGATTAACGCAACCTTGTTTGACCCCGTCAAGGCTACCAAAAACGACATCTACACCATCAATTTGGCTATTTTTGATGCCTTCCAAGGAATCGTTCAATATACCTTCGATGGAATGGTAGGATACCTTTATACGGCCTAGTTACATACTTTTTTAGCGCCCAGAAAGAGAGACTGGAGGAAATCACACAGTGACATTTGTATGCGAAATCATGGCCGACAAAAAGCTGTCGAATTTGAAAAAACTGTTCAAAGTTTTCAACTTGGCCCATGAATTGGAACAAAAACCGCAAAAAATGTACTCCTCTTACAGCGAGTTTATTGATCCCTTCAAGGACGAGAGCCTCGAAGCCGGTGAGCATATTTTACATAGTAAAAGATTCGATAATTTTGTGATATTTTGTCATACATTGTCAAATCTTTGTGACATTTTGTCAAAACTTTCCTTCATGACTCTTTTAAAAATGTCATTTCAGATGGAGCTGATATGCGAGGATGGATGTGGCTAAGCTGTTATCAATGGGGCTGGCTTCAGTCTACGACCGGAAGCAAGACTTTTGGCGATACTGTTCCAATCAAGTAGGCACACCACATTTTTTACTACATAAAAAATCAAAAATCAGGGTTCTATAGAACCTCCTTTTCCTTTTCCTTCTATTTTAATTTATTAATATCTTAGCTACTACTATGAGCAATGCAAGGACTTGTTCGGCGAAGAGATCAGCGCAAATTTGGTGGATGCTCGTATTCGCGACAACTTGAAGACATACGGATATCCGGAGAACTTCAACGCAACCAATGTGGTTCTGCCCAACGGTGATTTCGATCCATGGAATGTGCTGTCGAGCTTTGTCAACAGAACCGAAACCCACACCATCTCCGTTGTTACTCATGGTAAGTTTTATTATTTAGCCTCTTGTAAAGCAACATACCTTTCAAATAGCCTATAAAGAGATGATTTAAATACCTTAAAATCACTTATAGCCGCCGCCCACTGCCATGATATGTATCCTCCCTACGAAGGAGAGCCAGAAGGACTAAATGCAACTCGCGCTGTAATCGCCGAGGAAGTAAAATACTACCTCACACTTGGAAAATCAGCTTTGTCCGTGGTCAGCTCCACGATGACTATTTTGCTCGCTTATCTTGTTACTAGACTCGTTTAGATCGATTTTTAATAAAGTTTGTGTAAAATTATCCACCTGTTCTTTATGATACGCACACCGAACTTACTCGGCGTAAAAATTCCTGTGAGCCCGCGCTGTGCAGGCTATTAGGACTGTTTATGCAAAATAATTTTTATTTGGCTCTTCTGACTTCTTGTACTCTCCCAAAAATGGTTGAATATCTTCGCTGCGGATTCAGAGCACAAGTTAAAGTTTCCGATATCGATGCGTGCCCTATCTAGGTCATATACACAAAATTTGAAGAAAGTCGGAGATCCACACACATGAAGCACTTGGTCACATCTTCTGTGTGCAGTATAATGTAGCCAATGCGGCAATTCTTACTCCAAACTTGACCCACTTTTCTCAGCCCTTCATTAAAACGATTTGTTATGTCTTTTCACGTCAGCTCGGCGTCATTTCTTTGAATAACGTTCCGATGTTTCATCCACACCCTTTCTTATATGTAATAATTAAAACAATACGATACAAAGGCGTCTCCGAGACGAAACGTGTGTTTAAAACGCTTCTTTTATCCCATTTCTTTCCCTTCTGTAATTCGAGCAGGTTGGGAATCTGGTTTTTTTCTTGTTTTAAATGTCATACTTTAGGTTCGAAAATGGGATTAATGTTTCGGAAAGGGGAAGGTGTGGTTAAAGGGTGACCGTGATCCATGTTTTGAAGCCTTTTCTTGTCGTTCGGCGTGAGAAAATAGGATAGTATTTACCTTCGATGATTTTTTACGGGTAAAAATGGGTTTTCGTGTAAGGAAATTTTGGAAAATAAGTGATCGGAAAATGGCGAATTTACCTTGAAAGTGTCGATGAAAATCTTTTTTTTCTTAACTTTTCAAGAGCCTTTTACATTTTTTATGCAAATAATAAGGCTTGTTTGGGCTAGCTTTGCTATTCTTAACCTTGTTAGGCTTATTTGGCTGAGGCATTTGTTAGAGATGGATGCGTTGCATTTCCAGTGTCATGCGCTCTCAAATTCGCTTGCAAAAAGTTTGTCCACAGAGGGCCTACTCTCCAATTTTTTGTCTGCAAGTGTACTCTTACCTCAGGAAGAGCCTAGACGGAATATGTAAGCAAATTTCAAAAGAAATCTTTATGTTTTACCTCTGGCGTTTAATTTCTTTATGTTTCTTGCGGATAGCTTCCTATGATTAACCTCAATTTTTATGTTAGACCATCTGTTGAGCGTCCGGGAAACCCCCTGCTCTTTCTATAAATAGCAGACCTTATTTTAAGATATATCGTATATCATAATTATAGCAACGAACGGCAAGGTGATTACAAATAATCTTCAGTTCTCCAATTCTGTATGTAGTTTTGCACAAAAAATTTCTGGAGACTTATTACGACTATATTTTACACACAGACGGCAAGTTCAAACAAAAGGGCTGATAAGACAGAGATTAATTTGAAGAGGCATCAATAAAGCGGGACAACTTATAGTTTTGGCTGAATTGAGCACAAAAATTTATGACCAAATTGCAGCGGTATTATAAAAGAGATCTAAAAAATGCAAACACAAATTTTTTTCAAAATTTGAATTTGATAAGTGAGTGCGTTGTGGAGATTTTTTAAAAAAATTATGTACCTAGGACAGAAATGAATTACAAAGTACTATATGCCTTACAAAAAATCATACTAAATCTGAGCCAAGTTTCATTAAAATCTGAGCGATGCACTTGGAGTACTTTCCCTGTTAGTCCAATACAGCTTTGTCAAAATTTGAGCGTCGCACTTTCAACATTTGTTCCTTGAACTTTTCTTCTATTTTCGTTAAAAGGTCTTACGAATGTTTTTTTGACAATAATTTTTATTCATCATCAAAATCATATCTTCATTTGGCAAAGAATTTTCCATTTTACACGTCATTTTTTTCGCTGTGTAAAGTATTTTAAGATCAAATAATTTTCATTTTTTATTAGTGTTCCAAATATTTTTGGCAGCCGTTTTTCGCATTCATCTTCTTCCCGAACTTCTTTTAGAACAAAAAAACAAAAAATAGTCTTGACATTTAGCCCGAGGGCATGCCATTCGGAATGCTTTTACGTAATTTGTTCGGCTGAGCAATACTTTGTTTGTCATTTCTGTTGATTTGAAAGAAACTTTTGGACGGAATTTTTGTGGGGAAGTTTTTTGGAGGGGGTTTTGAACTTTTTGAAACTAACAGAGGCCTGATTAGGAAAATTTATAGAAAATCTGAGCGTCGCAACTTGTGGCACTTCCCTTGTAAGCTAAATTTTTTTGGCGGGATTCCAAGAGAAAACTTCTATCAGCGTTCGAACTGCGACGCTCAGATTGAAACTTGGCAAATTTACAGGGGAAGTACTCCAAGTGCGACGCTCAGATTTTGTGTAAATTTTGCCCACACGTCGGGTATGGACTAGATATCAATTCCTGAAAGCGTTGGCTCGCCCTTTGGGGGCGCCGTCGAGATATCGAACGATTTTGGCCGCCGAGAGAGCACGCTAAACGTGGAGAGCGGTCAGAGAGAAATCGCTTTTTTGGCCATAACTTTAGCAGTTTCGCGCGGAAAAATTTGATTTTTTGTAGAAACATTATCCTTTACGGTAGAAATAGGCATGAAACTTTTCGTGCCGAAATTCGGCAAAAAGTCTTAAATTTTGGCCGACTTTCTATCTAAAAATCCCGGTTGTTTCTGCAAAGCCAGAGCTAGGATTCTCGCATATATCTTAGAAAAAATTATTCTAAATTTGTGCCAAGTTTCATCAAAATCTGAGCGTCGCACTTTGAGTACTTCCCTTGTTAGACAATTTCAAAAGAAATCTGAACATCCTGCTTGCAACACTTGCTTGTGTTTTTTGCTTTAATTTTCTTTTCTCATCCCCAACTTTGACGTAAAATTAAATTAAAAAGTAGCTGCCAGTAACCTTGATCTTTCCACTCTTCATATTTCTTTCTTTCCAGATCTCTCTTCTCATTCTTTAAAAAACTCGATCCGACGCCGTTAATGCAAGCGAACGTCACCCTAATTGCCTTCCCTTTTTATACAAGGTCCGAGCGAAAAATATTGTTTTAGGGCATTGTAGAGTTGTTTTTTCGGGCCGGAATTCTTCGCCTTTTATTCCTTGCGGTGTTTTATTTATCTTGGCGTTCGAAAATAGTGCAAAATCCGAACAATGGGAGTGGCGTGAGCGAAGTAATGTGCTAACATGAGGAAAGGTCTAGAATAGGAAGTGCGCCAACCGTAACTTTTCGATTTTCTTCAGAGACCCTACATACTCTACATAGGCCATATTTTGACTTCTCTGGCAGAAAGGAGATCCGAAAGTTTGCATGCAAAGATTTGCAGAAAACTGTCGAGTTTTGCAAGCTAGGAAAATGGTATATGTGAGCGATCTTAAATTTGCGCTTAAAATTTTCACTTATCTCTTAGAATGACTGAAATTTCCGTTGTTGAATACTAAAAATTGTCATAATTGCTATACAAAATCAGTGGAGACGATTTCAAGTCATCATTTTTACTGTAACGTAGCAAACAACCGGTGCCTTGGCCGCATACGATGGTCATATCTATGCCCTAACAAGGGATAGGAAAATAGTTGCAACCTTTAATCTTAACGAAACATATATCATTTGAAAGATCATTAAAAGTAGTGCACAACGCAAAAAAAATTAGCTGCCTAATTTATGTTTGGACAAAGTTATGGCCAAAATACAGATTTTAACCTAATTTCACGCGTCACTTTATAAGCTCTTGAAACCGCAATAGAGTTGTGTCCAGTTGGCCGAGTGGTAGTGACCCCACTTCCGGCGCAACAAGTCCTGGTTTCGAACCCGGGCTCAGCATTTTTGCATTTCGTATCTTATATGCCACAAAACCATGCTATGTTGATGTTTTTAAACAATTTGTGTTCATTCTCAGACAAAATTCGTTTTTACGGGTTTTTTCTGAATTTTTGGCTTTTTTTGAAACAACCACAAATTTGATGGTGATGAGAGTGGGGATACCACTATCATGTAATTACAAGGGTGTGATCCCAGTAGCCTGACCTATTATAACTACTGGACGAGAATTAAATTTACAAGGACCTGTAAATATACATTTTTTCGAAAGAATACGAAGAGAAAATTGTATAATCGGGCAAAAGACTATAGCTGACACAGTGGACCAACCGTTGGTAGGGCTAGGACATAAGAAATTTTTAATTTTGAGATTTTAGTTTGTGGACGACCACGATGATCATATAAATCTATTTCCAAAGCTTTTTGCTCCAATTTTCCCATTAATCTAGTTTTATTTACAATTTTTTGGAACTAGCAGTAATGTCTAATAACTCATAACCGAGGTTTGGTAGAGCCATAAAACGACCGTGATAGACGTTTTTAGATACTAGAAAATCAATGGAGACGATTTCAAGCCGCTAGGATTACTGTAACATACAAAACTGGCGTTTTGGCCGCATATAACCACTTTCATAAAACGGTCATAACTTTGTCCAAACATAAATTAGGCAGCTAATTTTTCTTGCTTTGTGCACTATTTTTAATGCTCTTTCAAATGATATATGTTTCGTTAAGATTAAAGGTTGCAACTATCCCTTGTAAGGCAAATTAAATAGCTGTTTTTTTTGCGTTGTACACTCTTTCATGGTCTTTCAAATGACTTAGGTTTTTTTAGAAGTCTGGCGACAAGTAGTTGCCGATCCCTTGTAGCCTAATTTTGTGTCATATAACACAAATTTGAATGCGACTTTTTTGCAATTTTTTACGTCCTTTGTTCTACACTTACAAACTGCAAAACAAGAACATTGAGTTCGGTTCAACTACAGCTAATTTTCCTCGACTTTTCACGACCATTATTTTCATGTCCTAATGTAAGGGCGAAAAAGGGCTGGAAATGACATTGCGTTTGACTAAACAAAGATTGAGTCATTGCAATTATCATATTGTGTTTACGTCCATTTTTGGAGGGAAAACCTTGTATGTAGCATATAAATTGAGATAGTAATTTTTTTATTACGCAAAAAAAAATTTTTTTGTTGATGAGAGAGTCTGCAAAAAGCGGAGAGTAGCCAGAAAAACGCTTTAATCTCTGTCAACTTCGCATGGAAAAAAATCGATTTTTTGTGGAAAAATTTGCCCTCCTACGGTAGAAATAAGCATAAAAAGTTTTATGCCAAAATTCGCAGTGAAGGATCAAAATTTCGTAGACTTTTTTTCGCGCTGTCGCTCGCACCCTGACTTTTTCTGCAAAGTGCAAACGCCATAAATCACTCCATTGACTTTACGAACCGACTGGCACAGTAATCTTTTAGATGACGAATTTTTTCCAACTTTTTTTTCAAACTCCAATCTTCGGCGCATAATCAAAAAACATTCTTTTTTCTAAATTTGCATTAGGCCAAAGACGGCGAAATTTCCGAAACCATCCCCTCGAGGGATTTCATTACGCAATTCCCTCCCTCCTTCTGCCCAACGAACTGCCGACTTCAATTTTCCCTCCGCTTTTCTTTGGTCGTTAAAATAAGAAGAAATACTTCATCGAATTTTGTTGGGAATAGAAGAGCCCAAATTTCTACCGGCAACTAATCTTATTCGTAATTATTATTGCTCTGGGAATCAGCGAATCGAAAATTATTCGGGATTTTCCGAGAAGTCGATATTACTTTAGGGCGCTTTGGTCGTTTTGCGGCGAAAACTGAGTTTTCAAAAGTTAAATCTACTGTTGTTTTATATTAAAACGCTTTTTTAGCCCTCTTACTGTCTACTTCATTTATTAATCTCTTCTAAATTTCATTTTTTGAACAATTTTTCACTAATTTATATTACCCATGTCCATTAAACAATAAAAGTCCCCTCCGGCCTATTCAATTCCCCATTCTCTCGGAAATCCGTCCAAAATGGATCCAGATTGTATCAAAAGTCTTTCGATGCATTTTTAAAACCAGGGCGTTGGCGCGTTTCTCTTCCTAGGCCCGAGCTCTCAAATAGAAAGGAGCCAAAAGAGGGGGGAATTTAAAAGGCGATGCGAGCGCTTTCTCTCCTTAAAAAGGCAAACCAGAAATTAGGGGGTCCCTTCGGGCCCCCCAATTTCTGGTACTTTTACTTGTACTTTTGCTTTCGAATTTTCTCTAAAGCTTTTGATTTTCTTTGAAATTTTACGAAAGGCTCGGGGCCTGCGGCCCCTCGCATGCGGTGCCATGTCTCATATTGAATACTGGAAGACTTGACAGAAAGGCTCGGGGGCCTGCGGCCCCCTCGCATGTGAAAATGCTTCAAACTCCTAACTTTATGTCAAAGCCCTATCCCAGGTTCATCACTTCCACTAAGAATCAAAATTGTTAAAATTCCTAACTTTTAATCAAACCCCTATCCCAACATTCGTATTTTCCTAAAACCACAAAATTTCTACAATTCCTATCACGGTACCACACACCAAACCCAAAACATGCAAAAGTAGCCCCACCCTGCACCACTCACTTTCACCCCAAACCCGACCGCACTGTGCCATGTTACTTCTAGTACTCATGCTCACAATGCATCCATAAAGTTTTACCTGAAAGGCTCGGGGGCCTGCGGCCCCCTCGCATATGAAAAAGTTCCTAAAATTCCTAACTTTTCATCAATGCCCTAACCCAAATTCTTCACTTTCCCCAAAAAACAAAATTCCTAAAATTCCTATCGCAGTACCACTTACCCAATCCAAAATATGCAAAGTTCCCCAACTCTGCACCACTCACTTGCACTCCAAACCCGACCGCACTCCGCATTCACATTTTTGCGACTGACTGCTCCGCAAACCAAAACTTTGAAAATGATTTTAAATTTTTTCAAAAATTCCCACAATCGAGACCGATTTTTTGCTTCGAATTTTTGAAAATGAGAATTGTTTGGCTTCACGGACAAAAAACAGACAGAATAATTCTTTTGCTTTCATAAAGGGGACCAGAATGTCGGGGGTCCCTGCGGGACCCCTCCATTCTGGCAGATTCAGCAAACCTTTATTCAGATTTTTTTTTGAAAATTTTAGATGCAATTTGAGGGTCGGGCGCCTTCGGCACCCTCCCAACAAACTGTCGCTGATTTTACACTAAGACGCTCGGGGGCCCTACGGACCCCCTCGCTTTTGGTTTGCTTCCAGTTCGCACAATCAGAGACAGAATTCGCAGAGATTACAAAAAAAATGCACACTGCACATGCAGAGAATTGCAATTTGAGGGTCGGGCGCCTTCGGCACCCTCCCATGACTAACAACTGTCGTTGGTCTTACCTTGCGACACTCGGGGGCCCTACGGACCCCCTCGCGTATGGTTCACCTCCTGTTCGAACAGTCAGAGACAGAAATTGCAAAAAAATTTGCATATTGCACATGCCGAGAAAGGAACTGAGCCGTACACCACACCCATTTTCTCATACACTGTTCGAACAGTCAGAGATGGAAATTGCAAAACCTTTGCATATTGCACACGCAGAGAAACGAACTGACCGCACACAACACTCATTTTCTCACTGACTGATTTTTGATTCCGAAATTTAGCGCGTGCCATTCTCCAGTTCGCAGTCAGAGACAGAATTCGCAGAGATTAAAACAATTGCACATTGCACATGCAGAGAACTGCAATTTGAGTAAAAACTGTCGTTGGTCTTACCCTGTGTCGCCCCGGTATCCCGAGGACCACTCCGTTTACGGTTTGCCTCCAGTTCGCATAATCAGGGACAGATGTTGCAAAAAAATTGTACATTGCACACGCAGCGAACGGGGCCGACCGCACACCACACTCACTTTTTCACAGACTGATTTTTGATTCCGAAATTGAGAAATGAATTTGAATTTTCCCACGAATTTCCGAAATTGACCGATTTTTTGCTTTGAATTTTTTCAAAATGAGAATCATTTGGCTTCACTCAGACCGGACAGACAGACAGATAATGACACATTCTTTTGCATTAAGAAAGGGGACCAGAAATTAGGGGGTCCCTTCGGGCCCCCCTAATTTCTGGAACTTTTACTTATTCTTTTACTCTTGCTTTTGATTTTTTTTGAAATTTTATATAAGCCTCGGGGCCTGCGGCCCCTCGTATGCGGTGCCATGCCTGATTCAAGTACTCAAGCTCACAATGAATCTATACAGTTTCAAATGAAAGGCTCGGGGGCCTGCGGCCCCCTCGCATGTGAGAAACGTTCTAACTTTTCATCAAAACCCTATCCCAAATTTATCACTTTCCCTAAAAAATGAAATTTCTACAATTCCCTTCGGGCCCCCTATTTTCTGGAACGTTTACACCTTCACTCAGAAACCTCCTTCATCCTCAATAAAATTTTACAAAAGCTCGGAGCCTGCGGCCTCTCGCGCGTTTTCTAATCGAAGTCAAGTACAAAACTAAGAATGAATCTAACAATTATCTACAAAAAAAAGCTCGGGGGCCTGCGGCCCCCTCGCACGTAGAAACCAATTTTCAAATTTATAATTTTTCGTGAAACCGAAACTTCTCCCCAAATAACCTAAATTCTATGATTTGTCTTCACCATACCACGTATTCAACCCAAAACATGTAAAATACCCACTCTGCACCACTCAACTGTAGTTGAACCCGACCGCACCGCGCACTTGCATTTTCCTGACTGACTGCTCCGCAAACCAAAACTTTGAAAATGATTTTGAATTTCCCAGAATTTTTCCTTTTCTCACCAATTTTTCAAAATCAACCGACATTTTTTCTCAAATTTTTCAAAATGAATCTGATCGGCTTCATTTTGAGCGGACAGACAGACAGACGGACAGAAAATGCGACACTCTTCTGCATTTATCAGGGGGATTTGGATAGAATGAAAAGGAATCTGGAGTTTATTTGCTTCGAGAACGGGAGATTAGTCAGTTTTTTGGTGTTCTATCTATTTTTTTGTAAAATTTTCGATATTATACTAGATCAAGTAAACACTTTTGTCTTTTAATCGTTCAGAACGCCTCAAATTTCTTATTCATTGAATTTTCAAGGACTTTTTATCGGAATACAGCTGACTTTTTATTCAAATTATCAGTTTTGCGCGTATTTCTTATCAATTTGTTGATTTGCCGGGCGCAGGTTGCGTAAAAAAATATTTTGACAATTTCTGCGAAAACAAAGCAATTTCAATGTTTCTGTGCTTCAAATGGAAGATAGAGAGGACCCTAGTCTTATTTTCGTGTTTTACATTCATTTCCCCCTTATACTCGTGTTTATTTTGCTTTTCCCATCAATAATTATATTCGTCTTGCCTTCAGGTCCCCAAAAATTCACCTGTACGCATAAATTCTCGTCTCAAACTCGGGTTCATGTCACCCGATCAACAGCGACATAATCATGAAGACATTGAGCAGCCGATTTTCGATGTAAAGCAGTGGAATGTCAACGATTTGGCTGGCCAAATTACACTAGGCGATCTGGAAGTTTTCAAGCGAATTAATGTTGAGGTAAGTGGATTCCTTGGTTGATTTTTGATGAATGCTGTTCTGTGATGCTTCGAAAAAGCAATTCACGCCTTTTGGCCAGGATGCTTTGACAATTTTGAGCGATTTTTTGGCCTCCATTCATGACTGGCTTGATCATCATGAATCATATCGAAGCTCTCAATTTTCTCGATGAATCTTTGATGCGTCTTGTTTTTAATTAAAATCCATGATTGTTCTTGCTTTCACAATTCTTTGTTGACCTTTTGAAATGCTTTTTGGCCTTGTTTTACCTATTTTCTTTCAGGAATTGACTTCCTTTGGCTGGGCGTCCAAAAGGAAGGCGCAGGAGGCGCCAAATGTCAACGAATTTACCCGGAGATTCAACTGTCTGTCTTTTCTCACTTGTAAATCTGTTTTATCAAGTGAACGGCCGGAGAAACGAGCGCAAGTCATTGGATATTTCATAAAATTGGCAAAGAAGTTGTTCAATTTGAATAATCTTCATGCCGCCTATGCCATTATCAGTGCATTGGGGATGCAACCGGTCTTCAGACTTGCAGCGAGCTGGGAGGTAGGTCTCACAACAACTTATGCTTAGTTACATTGGATTTTTTGGCAGTTTTCATCAATTTTTATATTGTTTTAGGTATCGAATTTCTATTTTGATTTAAAAATTATTTCAGAGAGTTCCCAAGACAGATCGTGCTTCTCTCGACAAGCTGAATGAGTTTTTCTCATCGAAAGATAATTTTCACACCCTTCGGAATCATATGTCACTTGGAATCAACCCCTGTGTACCTCATATTGGCATTTACTTAACTGATCTCACCTTCTACAATGATCGCCTAAAACGAGCAAATGGAGATGAAGAGAATGTCCAAGAGAGCATAAACAAAATGTTGAGGATGTTGTTTAGCTTCCAGGATTCGAGTTATGGTGAGATTTTTTGGATATTACTTTAGGTGGAATTGAAATTTTTTTGAGGAAATTTGGAATTTTCAGAAGTTTCACAGGTGTTCTTAGAGTTTTTTGACTGAATAATGAGATTTTAGATATGAATTTTATATAGATTTATATTGATTTAGACACTAATTTTGCAATTTTTAGATATCTCGTCAAGCGCTCAACTCGAAGCTGCCTTGGATGACTTCTATAATAACGCCTCTCAGCTCGGCCGGGATCAGCAGAACGATCTTTTTGCCCTGTCCGTGAGACTCGAACCAGAATCTTTGACCGACGAACAGCGTCGATCTTCGCTTCCATCCCAGAAATCTCTTCAAAGAGCCGTCTCAAAAGCTTCGGTGGTGCAATTCTTGAGTAGTAGAGGGAAGAAATACAGTGTTTCTCCATCGGTAAATTCACCAACATCAACTCTGCAAAGGGCTTTCAAAAGAGGCCATAAAAAAGCGGATTCGTTGGATGAAGCGAAGATTTTGGGGTGAGTTGAAGAGTAAAATTGAATTTTAATTAAGAATTATTAACAAGGGAACTACCCCAAGTGCGACGCTCAGATTTTGATGAAACTTGGCACAGATTTAGAGTCATTTTTTCTAAAATATATGCGAGAATGCTGGCTCGCGCTTTGCAGAAACAGCTGAGATTTTTAGATCGAAATTCGACGAAAATTTAGGACTTCTTGCCGAATTTCGGCACGAAAAGTTGCATACCTGTCTACCATAAAGGATAATGTTTCTACAAAAAATCAAATTTTTCCGCACGAAACTGCCAAAGTTATGGCCAAAAAGCGCTTTTCTCTCTGACCGCTCTCCACGTTTAGCGTTCGCTCTCGGCGGCAAAAAAAACGTTCAATATTCGGCGGCGCCCGCAAAGCGCGAGCTAAAACTTTCAGGAATTGATACTTAGTCCATACCCGACGTGTGTGCAAAGTTTAAAGAAAATCCAAGCGTCGCACTTGGGGTACTTCCCGTGTGAATAAAAAATTTTGAAGAAAAAACCTCATTTTTGAGTCATAAAAGCTTTTTGGTAATTATTATTCAAGGTTTTTTTCAGAGTTTCCAATCACTCCATCTCCGACTTTGATTCGCCCAGATCCACAGCCGGCTCCACAAGTCTCCATCGATCTCCATCGTCGCCAACCCATTCGGCCGCCGTCTCCCCATCCATTTGGTACGACTCCAACTCTTCCAGATGCACTTATAATCAGCTGAACAACGAGGAAGACGACAACGAACAAACTGATGGCCCACGGAACAGAGTCGATCGTTCGGGAAGCTCGGTCTCGTTGGTGAATGAGATTATGAAGAAATTAAGACTGAAACATAACGAAACACCCGTCGGATCGGCCCGATTACCCCGAAAAATTCGAATTCAAAACGAAAAAAACGGAAGACGGGCGGCGAAAAGCGCGGATAACACCCCGATTATCTCGAGAAGACTGTTTGTCATGAACAACTCAATGGACGAACGACTTTATGCCTTCAAGAAAAGCAAAGGACACGGGTTTGGGAAGAGCGATGAGTAAGAAATTTTAAAAACTTTTTGAGTTTTTTTTTATTTTTTTTTTTCGAATTTTAGTCATGATTGAATTTCAGATCCGCTCTCCCGGAAAAGTTTGATGGTTTAGACGATAGCCCATTGCTTTTTGAGACGACAGAACCTGAAATTTCTGGAGTATTTTCGAAAACTCAACTTCGATCTAAAAATCATAAAATAAAATTGGTAAGCGATTTGTTACCGATCATTTTTTGTTAGAATTTATGTAGAATTTTAATCAATATTTTTGCCAAATTTCGACATAAATCGAAGATTTTTTGAATATTTTTTGTTTTCTAATTTGTCATTATTTTAGGTTCGAACCCACCATTCTTGCTACCTTGAACTCCGAAATGGAATTCTCCTCGAATTTGAACGCAAACTGGTCCCATTGTACATAGAAGATGAGCGCGCGGTGTTCCAGTCCAAGCCCAAGAAATTTTTTGATCTGAAATCCGGCGATTGGACGGTCGAAACGCCCGCAGAGAGCGCAACAACGCCGCGAAGAGCCGGCTTCGAACTGCATGACAAACTAAAAGGCCGGGTCTATCATTATGCATGCCGAAATTGGACCATGGCCAATCATTGGAAGAAAATTTTGGACGAAAATATCAACGATTCGGCGGATGAAAAGAGGTCGTTGAAGAAGATTATGTCGCAAAAATCCAAGGAAAGCTATACGTATGAGGATACGGACATTGATGGACTGGATTTGGAAGAACAAAGACTTGATGAAGTGGATGAAGAAGAATGCGAAGTGACAAGGCTGTAAAAATGGATTTGAATTTGCTTTAGACATTAGATCTTGGATGTAGATCTGAATATGTTGTAGTTTACAGGTTTTTCGGGATGTTTCCGGGTAATTTTGTTAGTTTTTCGCCTAGATTATTAGTTTTATTTTGTTTTTTACCTATTTTTGCATGGTTAATATCCGTTGTAATTTATTTTTTACTTTTTTTTGTCTGAAAATTGCTTTAACAAAGCCAAATGATCTTGTTTTTATTATATTGAATAAATTGAAATTTGTAAAATACGGTGAAGGATTTTGTTTGTTTTTAATTTTTGAAAAAAAAAATTTTTTTTGAAAAATTTCAAAAATTTTGTCAAATTTCCTTCCAAGTCGATTAAAACCCTCCTAAAAATTACTTTTATTACCTTATAAAGCTCCCACTTTTGCGTCACCCGCATTTTCACAGCTTTATTGACACTGATAAGCCTGGAATCTGATGCATTAGGCGGTTCAAAAACGCCTGTCTCATTATTTAAACTCGATTCATCCCCAACTGATTCATGATAGCAAACACCTTTCGATTGTTTGTATAACACGGTTACTGAAGTAAAAAAAGGGAATTATAAAAGTCTTGGTATTCCGAGGAATTCAGGAGGAAAGGGATTGAAAATGCTACGATTTTTTGATTTTTGTTGTTTGGGCAGGGCCGGATAAAAATTTTTATTTTTTACAGCCGACATGGTCAGATTTTGATGGAAACTTCGTACTGTATCTCGGCTGCGCCCGCAAAGTGCAAGCTGAAATTTTCGGGATTTGATACGGGATCCCAGGCACTGTCTGCGTTCAAGAAATGACAAGAATCGGAGTGTCATTGTTTGAGCTATGAGTTCTTTATAAAAAACATGTTTAAGCACGTTTGGTAGAGCATCGTTTTTCCGAAAGCGCCCAAATGAAGGTCCGTTTTCCCTGGCCGAGTGTCTAACTTCTGGTCACTGGTTCTTCCTTTTCCGAAAAGCTTCGGTCAAATCCTTTTAAAGCCTAAGGGGATAAGTCTCCTAGATTTACATAGACCCCTTGGTATGTCTTTATGGCGGCTCTAAAAAGTTTAGGAGCAAGAACTTTTAAAATTTTGCTGCGGGAATTGGCGCGCTGACCTGGCAACTTTCCTGCAACCGTATGTTGGAAACTTCTCCAGATAGAACAAAAATTCTACAGTAACTATGTTCCCTTAACACGGTACTTTCATGCCATATATATCTTTCCTCACAAACTGTTTCATGGAAGGAAGAATCGAAGAAAAATAAATGTCCATTTTTTTGGCCCACCCTGTACTCATTCGCTTTTATAGAAAATCTAAGTACATGCAAAAAACTGTAAACTTTAAAAAATCATCAGCTCGCAGTAACTCTCTCCTCCTAACATCACCTCTACTTTTAATCGCCTCAAACATTTGGCGATCATTGACGGCTCAAGTGGAATGTATATAATCGCCGCTTTTCTTCTGCCATTCTCACCCATTTTTCGCAATCTATTTATTTCCCGCACTGTGTTTAGAGGGTAGGTAATTGTTTGAGGCAGGCGATGAAATTCCGAGGTCATTCCAACTCATTTTTCTTCGCCTCCTTCGTCGTAAAACACCTTTCTCCGTGTGCGGAATGCGGCAGGCTAGCCGGCGCTTAGCGCTTCTGTCAAATTTTTATAGGATTTTTGAAAAAACGTGGGATTAATCTGGGAGGTGTTGGGTTGTTTGACGCAAAATTTTTGGCTCGCGCTTTGCGGGAACGACAGAGACTTTTTAATCAAAGGCTAGGAAAATGTGACTCCTTTTTGTGAATTTTGGCATGAAACTTTTTTCCAACTTTCGGTCTAAAATTGTTGGTTTTTTCTGCAAAGCGAGAGCTCGGGGTCTCGTATACCTTTTAGTAAATAATATATTTGAAATTTGCGCCGAGTTTCATCAGAATCTGGGGTCTTGTAAACTATCAGTCTGTCGGGAAAATAACGTGAGTCTGTCGCACCAAATCTTGGTCACAGTAGCGCACCAAACCTCTATTCGCGACTAGGCTTCGTAAAATGTCGATGGACTACTTCAAGGCGCAAAGAATGCACATTATTTTCCCGACAGATAGATACTTCCCCTCTAGGTATTTTCCTCTTAGGACATTGTCTTTTATGACAATTCCAACCATTCCCCATTATACGTGTGTATTATTATAGCCGCCTTTCAAAGGTAACCATCGCCCATAAATCATCATGATTGTAGCTTTTCAACGAACAGCCTAAACGTCCGCTTAGGGATCACCAAAATTCGTCTGCTTGCTTTTTTCGGAGGCCCTAAACCGGATTCCGGTGGGGGAAGCGATTTGTCGCGCGGCTTGCACGTAAATGCCTCAAAACAAAACAATTGCAGCCGATTTAAGGTAGGCTGCAAGGCGACTTGGATGCAAAATAATAGCAATGTTTTGGGCGACAAAAACACCCGATTTTATATGCATAAACAGGGTGTTCCGATGGGCTTAGGCAGAACGCCTTTTGAGGAGATGGGCTTAGGGATCGGCGGATTTGTTGGTTTAGTCTGATTCATCGAATATGTTATGCTTACTAATAGTCGATCAGACCTGAAAAAGGATTGGAGGGAAGAGCGGGTTTGTTGGGTAAATGTCATTGTTTGACGCAGCCAATAATTTTTTTTGAAGAATTACTTTTAAGGAAGGTTATGAGTATACTGTCATACCTCTGTACATCAAAAAGAATACTCTTTAGAGGGCTCTGTTGTAGGCCGGTTAATTTTGGCCTAAGAGTGACTATTGGCACCTTTGAGATTTTTCGCTATAGGCAGGTTTTGTTTTGTGGCACTTCTATAATAGTTTTTGTCAATTTCAGATTTCGAAAACAATTTGCATGTATCAGTCTATCGGGAAAATAACGGCGGATCGTTGCGCCTCGGAATCCATCATCGCTTTGCGACGGTCGCCGAAGCTGGAGATTTGGCGCGCGATAGCGGTGAGGCGACACATTTTGATGCGACGATCCGCCGTTATTTTCCCGACAGGCTGATATTAGTCTGCCAGGAAAATAATGAGCACAACGTCGCTGAACTGAAAAGCAATTCGATTTTTCAATTAATTTCCTTGGCGGCAATGCAATTTTGATGCGACAGAGTGCTGATTATTTTCCCGCGCTTCTGTGCAGACTTTATTGAGGCCTCATGCTAGTCAACAGACTCAATTTGAAAAAATGGGTTGAATTTTCTAAATCAGCACAGTCGATTGCCTAAAACCTCTTCAGATCCCATTAACATAAGCTTGGAAAAAATTTTTTGGACCTTTTTGGCCAGTGGACCCTTTTTCCGCGGACCTTTTCGTACCCAACTCCGCAAAACACATCTTTTTCTTTGTGGCCTACCCTCCTTTCCGCCCCGTGCTAATCATTCGACCACTAATCATTGATTCGTCGCAACTCTGTCGCGACTCCCCGCTCCGCTGCACCCCGCCGCCAAATCCTCTAATAACTGTTTACAATTGAGCTCAACATTTATTAGCAGAAAAAATTTCCGCGTCTTGCTCATCGATCTTTTTCCCTACAGGCTTTAAGGCATTTTTAATATTTACACATGGTCCCGGGAAACAAAATTCCAACCCCCGTCGGATCTGCGGCGCCTCTTGAGATAAAATCAAGAGAGAATATTTTCCCTCACCGGCGGCCCGCGGTTTACACGTAACAACATGCGCAATGAGAGAGAGGGGTGGGAATATTGGCTCGTGCAGCTGATCACAGCTGCAAAGGAGTTGTTTTTTTGTTATTTTTGGGCAAAGCGGTCGATTTCTGCCAGTTGCAGGCGGAAGTTTACGATCAGGAGTTTTGTGTGGGCAACCGACTTTTGAGACTTTAGATTCCGATAAAACATGGTCTAAATTTACAGGTCCGTCCGTAAAGCCGCCAAGCTTATTTTGTTAGTTCTTTATACAGACTATTTGTGCTAGACTTGCGCTTTGCAGAAATGATCGTGATTTTTGAGCCGAAATTTGTCAAAAATATGATACCTTTTTGCAAATTTTGGCATGAAAAGTTTCCTGCCTGTTTCTACCGTAGAAGGTTATGTTTCCACAAAAAAAACAATTCTTTTCTTCACGAAACTATCAAGGATACGGACAAAAAAGAATATCCAAGCAGAGTATGCAGGAAAAGTTTTTAAAAAATCAAGGGGTCAAGCTGATTTTCTCACCATTACTTTTACACATTGTTTTAATCGTACTTTAGAATATTCAACGTGCTGTCTATTTACTTATTTCTGAAAAAAAAACTAATTGCAGGAGAAAAGATGTTAGGCCGCGGCTCAGAATTATCATATGCACGGCCTCCGTTGGCACATCGCACTTCATCTTTTGGTACGTTCAAAAACTTTTTTTACATAAACATTTACCCTTCTGAAGCCGTTTAAAATTCACTTTCCTAATAGCCAAGCCAAGCGGCGCGCTAGATAATTTACGTTGCGATAATTCCCCTCGCTTCAACGCTTGAATGGGAATTTTTACAAGCCCAAATCCCGGGATGACCTTTCCTCTGCCCTCGGATCTCCAAAGCAAACTCCGAAAATTACAAAAAACGCGTTGTAAGGGCTTCGGATAATTTTTGGTCTCCTACTTTTTGGGGTTTATTTTGTAAACAGCGAGCCGGCAGAGAGCAATGTTTGGAATGTTTCGGAGGAAACCAAAGGATGAGAGGGCTAAGAGTAAGTGCGCGGGGTTAAAAATTGGCCATGATGCATTTAAATTTGCCATATGTCCTATTTATCGGTCTGTCGGGAAAATAATGAGTGCAGCGTCGCTGCGCCGATCGGGTTGCTGAAGTGAAAAAAATTTTGATTTCACCACGGAAAAAATTCATTTTTCTCGACGGCGATGCGATTTTTGATGCGACAGAATGCTCATTATTTCCCAGACAGACTGATATGACACTACAAAAATATCTTTTATTCTTGTGGAATTTGGGGTACAAAACTCTGCAAAGCGGCCCCTTGTTTCCAAAAATTGAAGCGTTCTCGTTTCTCAATTCCCTAGGGACCTTATACAATATCAAAAAAGCTCGGTAAAATATATTGAGGTTATATCGCTTCAATATAGACAACCCTTCTAATTATGACTATATAAAGCGTACCGTTGCGCAGAAACTTTTACTTACCTCGCTAGCCTAGTTATTTTATCTGGCTCGGAATACCGTTTTTACTGGATGATCAGAAAACAGAGTCAGCGGACGTATGTTGTGAGGAGTCAGCGATATGAACGGGGTAATAGTCAGTTTTATTTGTGGCGCCGTTGGTTTCATTAGGGAAAAAATTGCTTCTAAAGTCAGCAGCAAGACTTGCCAATGCCATATCTTCTTCTTGCTTTCCATGGGAATTTTAGATTACAGAACTCAAAGCTGATCATCAAAAAGTTCCCGTTTAGGAAGTGGCTCGCGCTCCCTCAAAATTGTCACCGAAATGGGGCAATCTGGCACTTATCACAGTGGCGGCGCTTCTCCATTCGGCCAAAGTGCCGCAACCGCGGTGAGAGACAGCCGGGAACGTGAGAAGAAAGAGATGAGCGACTTGAACGACAAATTGGCCAGTTATATCGAGAAAGTCCGATTTCTCGAAGCACAGAACCGCAAAATCGGAGCCGATCTTGATTCGTTGAGGAATAAGTGGGGAAAAGATACTCATAATATCAAGCAGATGTATGAGAGCGAGCTGAAAGTGAGTTTGGAAAATTTTAGAGAACTTTAAAATGACTTATTTGACGTTTCAGGAAGCCCACAAGCTCATTGATGACACAACAAAGCAAAAGGAAGATTTGTCCAAAGAGCTAAAGGATTTGCTGGCAGAAGTCAACAATTATAAGCTAAAGTAAGACTCTAAAACTTTTAAAAGGGTTTTAAATCTGTTTTAGGTATTCCGACGCACAACGCGAAAGATCGGCGGAGAAAGAGCGACTCAATGAGATCTTGACAACTCTCTCCAATCTCGAATCGGAGATTCATTATTTCCAAAGAAAAATCGCTCGATTAGAAGATGAGACAAAAAGAATCAAGGGAGAAAATCATCAGCTTGTCATGGACCTGCAACAAGCCAGGACTGTGAGATTTTTATTTGCATTTTTATATTATTATAATAACGGTTTTACTATAAAAGCCAGGGAATTTTAAAAAAACAGAGGCCGAATTTTGCCTAAACTTTTCAAATAAAACGTTTCAGGAGCTAGATCAAGAAACTCTGAACCGAATAGATCATCAGAATCAGGTCCAAACCTTGCTCGAAGAAATTGAATTCCTTCGACGGGTTCATGAGCAAGAAATCAGGGAGCTACAGCTGGAGGCAGCTCGAGATACAACTCCAGAAAATCGCGAATACTTCAAAAACGAGTTATCATCCGCTATCCGCGATATTCGCCAGGAATATGATCAGGTAAGTGAAAAAGTCATCATCTTGATCTCTTCCGAGATTGAAAAGAAATTGAAGTTATAAGAACGGCCAAAAATATTGATCTTTGCAGATTACAAACCTGAACAAGACCGATATGGAGTCGTGGTATCGTCTGAAAGTGCAGGAGATTCAAACCCAGTCAGCTCGGCAGAATATTGAGCAGGGGTATGCTAAGGAAGAGGTGAAGAGATTGAGGGTGCAACTGACCGATTTGAGAGGAAAATTGGCCGATTTGGAGAGCAAGGTGAGTTGCAGAGGGAGAGTTTATGAAGATGTATGTTTTGGAGGGAGAATTTGAAAAGTCGGATTAAGGCAACTTGACCGGGCAGATTTGGTCAACGTACTGTCAGTCTGTCGGGAAGATAATGAGCACTCTACCGCATCGATAATCGCATCGCCGCTGAGAAAATGAATTATGTCGCGGCAAAATCAGATTGCTTTACACTTCAGGCGATGCGAACGGCGAATTGACATTGTACTCGTTATTTTCCCGACAGACTGATAAATGACACCTGGCAAGTTTAAATACATCGTAGGCAGTTTTTAACCCCGTAGACTTACTCTTGGCCCTCTCATCCTTTGGTTTCCTCCGAAACATTCCAAACATTGCTCTCTGCCGGCTCGCTGTTTACAAAATAAACCCGAAAAAGTAGGAGACCAAAAATTATCCGAAGCCCTTACAACGCGTTTTTTGTAATTTTCGGAGTTTTATATTTTCCCCACAGACTAATGTACAGGGCAAAAAATTTTGAAGTTTCGCATAGTGAGTTTTTGGCATGAGGTTCGAAGACCTTTTCTGGTGAAATTCCGATCTCAGCGGTTTCGTCTAGAGAGGATTTTCTTGAGTTTCCTTGGCCGTGTCGTCTACCCTCTTTCGGTTTCAAAAGTCATCCGATAATTCACCTTATTTCAGAACGGAATGCTCGAAAAGCAGATCCAGGAGCTCAACTACCAATTAGAAGATGATCAACGAAGCTATGAGAACGCCTTAACCGAAAAAGACAATCAAATTCGCCGTGTTCGCGATGAGTGTCAAAATCTCATGGTGGAACTGCAAATGCTGCTGGATACAAAACAAGTAAGTGGAAGGTCAAAAAACGATATAAAATGAATCTTCAGACCCTGGACAACGAGATCAAGATGTATCGAAAAATGCTGGATGGAGAGGACAGTCGGCCTGGGCTGCGACAACTGGTGGATCAGGCATTGGTCAAAAAGGATAACGGTTTCCATGCCGAGAGCTGTATGTTTTTATGGCTTGATTTTCAAGTAGATTTTTTAGTAAACGAAGCCCGCGTTGACGCCACTCGCCATTCCTATCAACGCTCCGCCAAGGGTAATGTCTCAATCCAAGAGGTCTCCCCCGAAGGAAACTATGTCATCCTCAACAATACCCATCGCTCCAAAGAGGAGAAGCTCGGCGATTGGAAGCTGAGAAGGTCGATTGACGGCGGCGGAGAGGTGGTGTTCACATTCCCCAAGAAATTCGTGCTACGTCCCGGGAAGTCGGTGAAAATCTTTGCCAAAGGGAAGGGAATTAACTCGCCGCCGGATCAGTTGGAAGCCGAGGAGATCAAGAGTTTCGGCGCTGGAACTTCGGCGCAGACCATGCTTTACAACAAGGATGGAGAGGTGGGTTGGATCCATTATTTGTCGGGAAAATAATGAGCGCAAAGATTTTTTAATAATTTTTTTTCAGGAACGTGCAACTTTCATTCAAAGGGTCTCCAATTAAGAATTTCACTTCCAAATAAAGTCTTTGGAAGTCTCTACGAAATAAAACTAAATACTGCATACAAAAATACTGCCAATGCAATAAATTGTAAGATTCTATTAGATTGAATAAATTCTTGCCGCTTTGCCCTGTCTGCTCCATTAACTGGACCATTTTGTACATTTCCGTGTGTTGCAAATTTCGTCTCCGAGAGCACGCTTGTTTTCAAACGAAATTTTTTTCCTTCATCAGACATAAATTGTCAATTTATTCGCTCGTTATTGCCCGAGGTAGGATGTTTATGACGAACTTTTTTGTCAGTTCTGCGAAATGCTCTTTGAATTGGCGACTTAATCCGTTAATTAATCTTCGTCTGGGCTGGGTTTTTGAATTACCACAACCCAACTGACTGCCAAATTCCCCGGAGGGTCTGAATGGTAATTCCGGCGATAAAATAAACAGAAAGTACAAAAGCATTGGGAAAATAGTCTAATAATTGATAGCACTCGTTTCCGTGGTCATAAGTTGATTTTGGGGTTGAAATCGACCGGTCATATTGATGAAAATTTACCAGTTAACTTGCTCAATTTGACTAGTAAATCTGTCCAATTTGACCAGTCAAGTTGATAAAATTCCAGCCGGTAAACTTGACTAATTTCTGCCGGTCAAGCTGACCAAAATCGACCAGCCGGGTTGGAAAAATCAGGCCAATTTTTTAACCTATTCTGAGCTCGAGGAAGGCTCGGCAGAGACTTGGCAAAGACCCACAAACTGCCCATTTTTATAAATTTTTGCTATGTATTGGGGATCTCTCTTTTCTTGGCCCTGAGGTACTGTAGCATACAAGGACAAAAATTTATCACAAAAAGAAAGATATGTAAGTTTTAACGGTATATTATTGATATGAGTAAGTGTCAAATATCTCAAAATTCGTACTCGAACAAACTTTTTTGTCACTAAAAACAAAAGGCCACTAAATTTAGCTACAACAAGGTTTATATAAGACCGTACAAAATTATACAAATGTGTGGGCAAGTGGGCGCTTTTGGAATATTTTCGAATATTTTGAGGGACAGTTTGCAATTCAAACGACGTATTTTGAGATGCGCCGTATACAACGCATAAATATGCAAATAGAAATACGTGAATTTATATTTATATCTTGTGGTTTTGTTGGGCTGGTACAGCATTAAAAAGCAATGAAAGATTCTTTGTACTTTTTTTTGAAATGGGGTTTGTGTTTCTGGAAGTTGCCTTACTCCGTGCAATAAATGTTTTCGTCCACTTCCCGGTAAACGCGGATGTCCCTTCTTCGTACTCTAAGAAATCCAATTTTCTTCCATTTACGGTACCGGCTACGTAATGTTTTCTTGCCATTCCCTTCTAAATACTTTCTCGAAACATGTGGCCGTCGTCTCCTGTTTTCTGTACGATATTCCCCCGGGGGCAGGGGTAATGTTCTCCCATTTTTTCGGTTTTAATTTTTCCCAAAAAAACAAAATTGCTTTTCTTCGCGGCTCGGCCTCATTTATTGGTCCACCCTCGCGCGAAGGAATTTTTTTGAAGCCCGGGTTCAGGTTTGATGGTCATGTCTAAATTAAAAGCCAGTCCTTCAGAGGAATGTTGCTATTTTGGAATTTTTTTTGCAAGGAAAGCCAATATTGAGGGGTTGATCTTACAATGTTTGTAAAACTCAGATTTGGATGGTATTTTGCAAGAGTTTAGAGAGGAAATGGTCAATATTTGTCGCTGAGATTATGCAAAAATTTGCCCAAAATTTTGATTAAAATTTCATGAGACAAGTGTGAGATTCCTAGCTCGACCTATATTCAAAAACAATTGACAAGGGCTCGGCAAAACCTCGTCCCCTGGTTCCTTCTTGAAACATATACCATTTGAAAGAGCGCAAAAAACTGGTCTAGGATCACCTTTAATTAGCTGCTAAGATTCACTTACGTGCTAGCTAGCGAACTTTTTTTCAAAATTCCCAATTAGGCTTTGGGAACCTTTTCTTCTGAGACGCCAGCGAGGTCGAATAATCACTTTTCATTCAAATATTAGTCACCTACGACATTGGACGCTTCAATCAAGATCAAAAAACATAAAGTTTTTTCCGAGCTTGAAACTCTCAGGTCGATGCCCTCAACGAGTGATTAGGCGATGCTTTAGGTCTTGTAACTCGATACATACTAGGAGGTTTTAAACATGTATACCGTTTTCAAGTCGTTTTTCACGTACTGCGCCGAGTATTTCCACAGACATTGGACCCATTTTGTTCCTTCCTGACGTTTCTTTCGTCTTTTTGTAACTCCACTCTACCGTACTGTTTTGTGAGGTTTTCACGCTTCGAAGGCATGAGAACCGGAACCTGGGGGTTCTTTCCCCCCTCGACCAGAGGGTTGAATACCAAATCGCAAAATTAGCGTAAACTCGTGGGAGGCGTCTTTTTATGGGCTAGTAGTCTGACTCGAGAATTGAAAAAGTGAAAGAAACAAAGTGACAAAAAAATTCCATAAATAGGTTGTTAAGATTTTTTATTTTATTTTTTTACCCGCATTATGTTCGCGCCACATACTATCAGTGCCTGGAAATCAAATCTGTCCTTCCAACCGAGATATTCGCCGATGTTTGGCCACGAGAGGAGACGCGAGATAAGGGCTATTTGTTAAAAGGGCACCTCGGCGAAGAGGGCACCAGTGAGCGTTAAGAAAAACAGTTATGGTAAGGGGCACCAAGGCGGATTTTGAGCAAAATTTTGTGCGCAGAAGGAAACGGTAAAATTTATTTTCGATATTAATCCGTTTGATCCTCATTGCCATATAGTTTTTTGGCACAAAAAATAAAATCACTCTCAGAAAATTCGCCTTGTTAGTCCGTCATTGCCACCCCATTTTTTCGCAAACAAAAAAAAAATGATTTTAAAAAGTCTGCCTTGGTCCCCCTCGCCACATAATTTTTGCTCTAGGTGCCCTCTTCGCCAAAGTGCTCTCTTCGGACCAAGTTGTAAAAACACGCATAGGTCTCCGAAAAATTTACTCTACGTTTGACGAAGCTCTCATTAAAATTTGAATGTTGCACTTGAAGCACTTCCTTTGTTATTTTCTAATTAATCATCATAATGATGTTTGTTTGACTCAATTATTAATTCCTTATTAATCAATTTGTAGGTCGTTTTTCCGACTTCATTTTGGTCATATTTCTATGACGAATGTATCAAACGGCGAAATTGAGTGCTACTGAAACTAGAGGACTTGTTCTTTATTTATGAACCCCCGTAAAGTCGAATACATTTCTTTGCTTTTTTTTCATTCCCATATTAGGTCAAACACGAAACATTTTTAATATTTTGTGGCAACATGAGCTTTATCGTATCTAGCAGGTTTTGCCAGCACTGCTAGAGACTTCTACAGCAGTTCCAAGATCTCCAACTCGGTCTAACAATAAGCTGCAGAAAATAGATCTTTACACAGGAATACCCCAAGTGCGACGCTTCGATTTTGATGAAACTTGGCACAAATTTAGAAGGTATATCATAGACCAGAATGGTCTATTATTATATTAATCATAAGGGCTCCCACGGTCATAAGGCAATTTGAATTAATAGGCATAATTCTCTTTTCCAATTAACTCATGCCAATGTAAACAACAACAACAAACACATTGTTGTGGATAGATTTTTGGTTCTTGGAGAAATTTGTGGATTTATTTCGTCGCTGACGCACTTTTTAATCTCTGTACTCTCGAGTTTACGGTGTCCGGTGAAGCGGTTTTTAATGACGAACGCATAAACATCTTCGGCAAGAGCTTTGACCATTTCTTACAGACATTTTGTTGCTGCTTTTAATGTGTTCTTCTATTTAATCCGACCCCAAAGTTCTTTGAACCCCCCTTCCAAGTCAACTTTTCAGACAAAGGAAGAAGCTTCTACCGTATTTTCCATTCTTTTTTCCAAATTCTTTGATTGTATTACACCCCCAAGTGTATAAAAAGAGGCGGCATCCGGTCCACACGCCCAAATCCCCTGCGGAGATTTGCGGGCGAGAACGCCGAAATGGACGCCGGGTCAAGAGAAGAACGTCATGTTTGCATTGAAAGGCGGTAGATGTCATAGGAAATGTCCTATGGAGTGAGATGACATATGTGGTGAATTTTTGAGACATTTTCGGGTCGCAGATCTTTTTTGACGAGCTGGCTAATTGTAAGTTAAAGTGCTATGTGGAAAAAAATTCCTGGCAAGTTCAAATGGACTCAACAGGCCTGTCTAGAGTCTAGTTCGTTGCTAGCGCTTTGCAGACACCGTCGAGACGCATACCGATCTGCATCGTACTTTACTATCAGACTAGCAGTCTGTCGGGAAAATAATGAGCAAAATGTCGCTGTACCTGTCATGTCGCTTATGTGAAAAGCAATTTGATTTTGCCGCGACACAATTCATTTTCTCGGCGGCGATGCGATTTTCGATGCGACAGAGGGCTTAATATTTTCTCGACAGACTGATAACCCATTCGTAAAGTCTCTGGAATGTTTTGCGACAGGCACTGTCAAAGAACAGGAGTAGAAGTTGACACTGTGTAAACCATTCTGGCGGTTTTATGTATGGTAAAATTGGGAAAAAAAGATTTTTTGCAATTTTTACCCAACCTTTGATATAAAAGATCTTGGTTATTTCGGCAAAGCATGAAAAAAAGCTAGGAATTGCACTTTTATCTTATGAGAAATAAACCTAAGTTCGTGCCAAGGTTCATTAAAATCGTCCATCACGTTTTGTGCACTTACCTCACAAAAATTTTGACCAAAACACCAGCACATCACTCATTCACAAGATAAACATCCTGTTCCGAAATTTGTCAACTAACCTCAGGGTTCATTTGTCTTTTTTTGGCAACCCACCCCCCTCTTTTCGTGATTATATCCCAGTTTCTCGAAACTTTCTCAGAGCCCGAAAAATTCGGCCGAAACAATAATTGCCACTAATAATAGGGTAATGCGCACGAGCGCTTAATAATCTTTGTTGCTCTCGA